AGATAATAATTAAAAAAAACCAATCCATATGTTTAATAAATAACTAAATTACTAAAAACAGTTGGGTTCAGTGGAAGAAACTATTTTGTTACAACGTGATGAACCAATATTTGAATTTACTTTAAAAGAGGTATGCGCATTTAACTAACCTAACTACCAATGTGATGAATCAAGATTCAACGTGATGAATCAAGATTCAAATTATAAAAAAAAATAATTACTTTAATTAATTTTTTTAATACATACAAATTAATTATCTAGTTTTTATATAAGAGAATGAAAAGAATGTTATTTTAGGATGTGTACTAAAATTGAATGCGGTAGTAGTTAGGGCTTAATATAATGAAAAAGGAGAAAATTAAAGAAACTGATCGTGCATCTTAGGAAGATTAATACACAAATGAAAAGCAGCGAGGTGAGGTTTAAAAATAGTGGACAGTTTTGGTATTATCCGGGGGAGGCTTACTTTTAGTCTTTCACCAACCATAATGTTGAAAACAGCCTTCGCTCTGCCAAATTCTTGGATCCGATTGCACGCATATGTACCAAATCAAGAAACACAAATCGAAATAAAATTAAGCAACCGAGAATTTATTTATTTTTAATACCAACTTGTCTAAAAGCACGTCATTTTGGCCTAATTAATCTGAAGTGAGCTTGAATCGTGCCAGGAAAAAAAATACTACTTCTGATCCTTCATGTAGAACCTGTTTGACATTTAGGAGTGTTTGGATAGAACGAAATCATAATTTTAAAAGTGATTTTACGGTATATAAAATAAATATGTGGAGGAGTTTGTCTCAATTTATAGAAAAGTGCTTCTAAGAAATACTATTACAGCTTCCCAAACACACCCTAATTAGGTCTTAAATAATATTACAATTCATTTTTTTCCTTATATTCATCCAATTTTTCTTCAATGTAATCATTATAGTAATTGTACATATTAAAGGTTCCGTCAAATAGTAGTTCTAACTAATACATATTATTAGCAAGGGTATTATAGGAAAACAACACATATTTATTTCAAATAACTAACTTAATAAATTTTCTTAATCTGCTCAAACTAGCCAACTAACTCTTATATTAAAGAACAGATATAATATTTGAAAAGTCCTCTCATTTTAGCTGTATGAGATCAGATGTTGATGCTTCAGCTGATCATAGATTATCAGCTTCTTGCATAGGAGTTTTAGGGTAGATGATCTTGATAACCAGGCAAAGGATACATTTAAAGCAGCCTAGCTTCTTATCTTCCATAAGTTAGATAAGATTTGATTTTAAGCATAAGGCATAAATCAACTTTGTTTACTAAAATATTAATTTTTGGGATAATATTATTTTTAATTTATGAAATCTAATCCCATTTTGATTTTGGATTTAGTAACCAAAACCTCTCATTTTAAATTTCGGATGCAAAAATCAAAATGAAGTTAAACTTCAATAACTATGGATGATATTAACTTTTAATTTGTTATTCAAAGTATTCTTATTAACTACATATAGTGAGAGAGTTCTCATCATGTTTCAATTACAATGCACGTGATTAGAAAAGTATTTTCGAAAAATTATTACACTTAACTACAGCGGAAAATATATGTTGTTTTTTTAACTGAAAATTTTTAAATATATTGAAAGGCCTAATACTTATTTGGGATGAAAGACGCAATAAAATCAATCGAAATTTACGTACAAGTCTTAAATTAAAATAATACATTTATTTGCAAATAAGTTTTGCCATTGATCTGGTCTTTTGTGGCATGGTAGTAATTTATTCACGCATCAGACATTTATTGTTTTTTATTTTTTATTTTGTCTGTTGAACCATGCATCATGAGTATCCCACGGAATTTCGTCTATTTTATTTTAGGCACTCTCTATTGGAGATGGAATTTTTGTGTGTGGTGTAGGCCCAAATTTTTTTTTTTGGCATAATTGATATATTTATTATATTCCTGTACTCAGAATTTTTAAAAAAAAACTTTAAAAAATTAGTTAGTGTCATTAGGACTATAAAACCCTGGTGCGGATCGGAATATTTAGATTTTGAAACAAGGCGTCAATATGATGCAATGATGAAATAAATAAAAAAATCTCGCAACATCAATTAATGGTAAAATCTCTATTAGTCTAATTATTCTCCCACTATTGAAAATTTGTCTACAATCAAATATATCCTTTTTTATGATTTTATATATTATTTTTTTAATTTTAAATATAAAAACTAGTTAACTAATTTTACAAATTAAAAAAAAAAGATAAGTTAACTCGTAAAAATAATATGCTGATTTTCTAATTTATATATATTATTTTATTTATATTAAAGCATCATTAATATATCTTATACTACTAAGGTCTATAATATAATATTTAATTTGTCATTCAAATTTAAACTAAAAACTAAATTTTATGTTAAAAAACCGAGATGATAATAAATATGAGAAATAAAAAATTAATATATTATATTTAGAATCAAAATTAATTTCCAAATTAATTTTTATATTTAAGAGCAGAAGGGATAATATTAATATTTGGGCAGAATTAAACAAATATCTGCCGATAATTGAACAGAATGCATGATTTTCCTTTTTTAGGCCAGCAACAGAATGTATGATACTTAAGCATAGTGGCGTGTTTTTTGTTATTTTCTATTAGAAGATATTAATTAAACTGAATTTTGGACTTGAATTTATTTATCTTGTGACTTGACGTGGACTCCCCACCGCCTGTTTTCTTTCTCTTTTTTGTGTTTTGGCTTTTACGAATCTGAATCGATAAATACGGTAAAAATAATAACAAGAATACGACAAAATGTCATCCCCAGAAGCTAAGTGGGTTGCTGACGTGGCAAGCAAATAAAAGGCTCCCATGCAAGAATAGCTAGGGGTTTTCTCAGCAGATACCACCCGACCCTTGAGAATTTTTTTTTAAAATCTATTTGTCTTTTTAACATTATTTTTTTATTTTTCCTTTTTAAAAAACCTTTTTCGTTGATTTGGCTAATAAAAAGAGATTTCTTTTTTAGCGTCCTCTATACGTATGGCTGGCCGTTAAGTCTTCCTTTGTAGGAGATCACATATGTGACATTTAATCAATATACTAGTATTAATCATACAGATAAGAACATATTTTTCATGTAAGATGGAGCCTAAAATAAGAGTTTTAATCATTTGTGATACCGCATACAACGTACTATAATTTTAAATATTATATATATTGGTGAATTATTAGTAATATATCTCTTCTTTTTATTACAAGAGGTTAGAGGTACGTTAATAAAAATAAATAATTAATATGCTGATAGATTATATTTTTTATAAGGCTATAGTTTGTAATTACTTTTAGGTGGTAAAAACATGGTGAGCTGCAAGGGTCGGGTCCGACTGGTCACAAACGGGAACGCAAGGCGCCTTCCCTATCATGTCATGGGCTCGATACCTGTGAGTACACTTGGGATTAGTCTGACCGGTTGTGTTGGGATATCCTGAAACAGCGATACCATCCTACTCAAAAAACATGGTGAGCCAGTGAGGGGTGCCTCGAGATTTAGAGCCTCTTTACACGCACGCGCGCATATATATTAAAACATGTCTCTAATTATTATAGTTATTTATAAGCTATTAATTATATAATATAATTTTAAAATTATTAATATACAAAAGAATATATTTTACATATAATATAAAATTTATGAAAAACTATAAAACATTTTAATATTTGAATAGTGCAACTCATGAAAATTCTCATCTGCTTTAACTATAAAATAAAAACCCAAATTATTTTTGTGAACTTTTTTTTAAAATAAAGTAAAATTGCTGGAGGTGACTTCATACAGCACGCAACCAAAAGCGAGGGACGTATTGTGGGTCCCGATCTCAGCCCAGTGGTCGGCTGGGGACCAAAAATTCACGAAAATTGACATGATAGGTTCTTTAAATTTTATTTAATTAATGTTAGAAAAATTCAAACAAAATTTAATATTTATAATTCAATTTTTCATATTTACAGCCTGAATTGTGCCACTTATAAGTCAAATTTATAAATGTTAATTTATTAAGATCTATTAATGCTAAAAAATCACAAAAAATCATAAAATTTGAAAAATTGCAGACAAAGACCCATTTAGAGAATTGTTATCAAAACCTATATTATTATTATCAAAACTTATAATAATATTGTCACACGTCTCTAAATAAAAATTTAAAAGCTTATATTTAATTTTTTATTTTATAAATATTTTTTTTCAAAATCCATCGTACTTGTGGCACATGCCATGTGCAATTTAGATTCTCATATATATAATTTGTATCATGAATGTATATATAATTATGCAAGAATTAAAAAGTTGAAATTAATACAGAAAACGGAGATAATAATAATAAAATAAAAGTACTAGTCGACTAGAAGAACTTAACCGTCCATACACGGTCTTTCCTCATTCGCATTTTTAGATCAGGTGGATTCATATGCTTGGAGGAGCCTAATTTGCCCTTGAATTATTATTATTGTTATCACTTTGTCAATGCCATGAATTATTAGTTTATACTACTATATAAAAGTTTATTTAATTTTTATTTTGATTCTAATATAAGATCACAATTTATTTTATTTTTTTATATTTATTTATTTTTTTTAAGATAATCCTTATAATAATAGTAATTTTAATTAATATACTTAATTAGTAAGGATATTTTAAGAAAAATAAAAACATATTATTATAAATAACTATCTTAATTAATTTTTTAATCTATTTAAGTTATTCAACTGGTTTTTACGTTAGTGACAGGAAATAGTAGTCTATACGTATTAATTTTATTTGTGTGTGCATATATATGTAACTTCGGAATATCTTGTATCGTCTTATTTCCATTCCTAAAAAGTAAATATTCTTCCTTAAAAATTAATTCATGGCCGATTTAAAGATATTGCCAAACTACGCTTATCCTACATAATGACTAAAGTACCCTCGTCCCTTCCGTCTATAAAGTCCGGAAATGCATCGGCTATCATTGCATTCCCGTTCAGTGTTATGTAAAGCGTGAGCTCCTCGGTGGGATCGTCAGGGGAAGTTTCTGCTTCAATTGTGGTTGAGCAGTTCGAGAATGTTGGGAATCTTCAGCAGCTCCATCGTCTCGCCGCCGGACGAGCTCGTCACCGCCGGCAACCGCACGCCGTCGCCCAAGATCACGGCGGCCGCTTTGATCAACCGCTTCGTCCAGACCCACGCGTCCGCGGTTTCACTGCAGATCGGAGATCACGTGCAGCTCGCTTATACTCACAGCAACGAGACGCCATGGCAGCCCAGGTAATTAATTAACAGTTGTTCCTTCTCTAATTTTGTGTTGATTCTCCGAGTATGGGTGCTTGAGGCAGGTGAAAATCTTTTGATGCTTGTTGCTGACCGAATAACAAAAAGAAAGAAAGAGAATAAAATAAAGTAGTAGGATTATAAATGAAGCGAACTAATATAAATGAATTTTCATCCAGATATGGAAAAAGAAATTCATTCAGAAATTTCCGACGAATACAAAGAGATATAAACTTTAAAATCTTGCGATCGGTGACGTTATGATGTGGTATTAATCTTCCTGAACTGTATTATATGTATTTTCTGGCTTAGATTAATTTTCTCAGCTACCAAACAGGCTTGGACGAATTGTCCAATAAAGCGCCGGATATTGTAAATAGAATAGGAGAATAGGCCGGAAATAGGTGCCCCAAAAAAAAGAAAACTAAAGGGGGTTGGGAAGGGGTAAAACCGTAAAAGCAGTGGTTATTGAATAATAGATCAGGAAACTAGGGTTTAACCAGTAACCTTTTGACACGCATAAAGATTCGCGGGAGATCCAATGGTCATGATTCCGCGATGATACAGAGGTGAGGAGCATTTTTGCATGATGACCACGTGGCGCCCCATGAATGAATGACAATTAAAATTCACAAATTGGAAGCGGCTGTGACTGTGATCGCAATTCACACGCTTCTTGTGAAGTCAAACAAACTTCTTCCAAAAGATGTGGTGTAAGAGCTACTGATCTGATCCGCTTTTGGATTAATTGCGAAAAATTGATTTTACTTTATATGTGTGAGATGAGCTTTATTGCAACCAACTTCCTGTATTATCTTTAATTGTGAGAAAAACTTGAAAAGGAAGAACTATGATGGAGATCTGAAGAGTGGGTTAAAAAATACAGGTCATTTGCGGTGAAGGACGAGGTATTCTGCTTATTTGAAGGAGCTCTGGACAACTTGGGCAGCTTAAAGCAACAATATGGACTGGGCAAGTCTGTCAATGAGGCGGTTTTGGTCATTGAGGCCTACAAAGCGTTACGTGATCGAGCGCCCTACCCGGCCAATCATGTTGTAGCCCATCTCAGTGGGAGCTTCGCTTTCATCGTTTTTGACAAGTCCACTTCAACTCTCTTTGTGGCTTCCGTAAGTAGTACTACCTTCAACTTTAATATAAGAGTTGGTTGACTAACTTAAATAAATTAAAAAAATTTATTGAGTTTGTTTTTTTATAATAATTAGGTGTTGTCTTTCTTAAAATACTCTTACTATTTGCTAAAATCATAATTTGATCAAACATTTAATATGTGCAACTACTAAAAAGACTATTTTAAAAAAATGGATAATTATGAGAGACAAAATGGATTGGGATCTTATATTTAGAGTCAAATTGAAAGTCTTGAAGTAATACACACATTTATGTATAACTTTCCACATATTGATTTTGGTTGATGCTCCACCCCAATGGCCCACTTATATAGCCTTAGAGTACTGTTGCTAAGAACAATTTGCTTATAATTTTTTGTAGGACCGATTGGGTAAGGTTCCTCTGTATTGGGGAATTACAGCTGATGGATATGTAGCATTTGCCGATGACGCAGAATTGCTGAAAGGTGCCTGTGGCAAGTCACTTGCTTCTTTCCCTCAAGGTGGGTTGCCCTTTTGGAAAAAAAAAATGCTGGTTATAGGTGTGTCACCAAGGGTTAAGTTACTCTTCCAATGGGATGATATGATAAATTCTCAGAAGATCAGACTCATATGGGTATATTATTTTGAAACCAGAGATCCGAGAGAAAAATAAAAGGACCATGAAGAAAAATGTCTTGTTCTTTGAGGGTTGTAGAATGAGATTGCTTCAAGTTCTTTTTTTTTTTTTTCCCCCCTGCCCAAAACTGTTGAGTTTCCTTCTTGTCATTGACGCGTTTTTGATATCGAGCAGGATGTTTCTACTCAACAGCAATTGGAGGATTGAGATCCTATGAGAATCCTAAGAACAAGATAACTGCAGAGCTTGCAAAGGACGAGGAAATCTGGGGGGCAACCTTCAAGGTAATAAAATTAGACGACTTTGAATAGATCAGTTGCTTGCAGAAGCACGTTCTATATATATAGGCTAATATCTTGTAACCCATTATTACTTGCATAATTAATAACTTGGCGGGATGAAATATATTATCGTCAGGTGGAAGGGTCAGCAGTTGTTGCAGCTACAGAATAGAAGATCTATTTTTCAAATGAGGAACTGTATGATCCTGTGGAATGTAATGAGGTTGTGGTGATAGAAGTGGGACAAGTATTTAATATATTAGGGGCTTTATTATTCTCCTTTGGTTCCTTTGTTTAGATTATGACGACAAAAAAAAGAAAAGAAAAAGAAAAAACAAGTTCCTCATTTAGATCGGATTTGCCTTGTTCCTATCATTGTACAGCTGCTCTTTTCACTCTAATAAAATAAATTATGCATCTGCTCTGTGATTCTCTACTCCTTCCTTTGTCTCATTATACTGGCGATGAAATTCCTGCAGCAATTAAGCTGGCTACAAGTGATTGGTTTTCTCTGTTGTCCGAGAGGAATTGATGCTCTCTCCGATCCTTAAGAGGTCTTTAACTGGTTTAAGTAAATTATGAAAATTTATTAAGTTAGTTATTTATAATAAATAAATGTTATCTTTTTTAAAATATTCTTATTAATAATGTGGATTGGTTAGAATTACCATATGATAGAACTTTTAATATATGCAGCTGCTACAATGATTATTTAAAAAAAAAGAAATAGATAAATATAAGAGATAAAATGGATTGAAGTCTTATATTTAGAACTAAATTAATGTCAAATTAACTCTTATATTAAGGATCAGAAGTAGTAGTATTATAAGATGCATTAATTCCTTGTTCCGATTTATTTTGATTTGGAAGTTTAGAGTTTATTCCAAACTAATAATCATGAAACATTTTTGTACATAATGTTTGTGTACAACATGAAGCGTCAAATCGAGTCTTGCACTTTAGTTTCGCGTACTTTGAGCTGACTCTGTTTTGTTTTGGAACAAACCTTAATTGCTCTGCTTTTCGGGTTGGTTAGAAGTTGATTTATGAATAGATAATTTCAATAATTTCAAGTCTCCAGGCATATAACACTCAAACATTTTTCAAGGTATTTTTTATTACCTCGTCTATTTGTTTTATAACAGAACAATTTTATTTAAACATAAATAAAAAGATACATAAAAAATATTGGCCCAATATATCATAAAAACAGTAAAATGCACAATAGCTCAATACAAAGAGAACGGTACAAACTACAAACACAACCTAAAAGCGTTTTTAAAAATTATTTTCACACAAGTTGAGAAAAAATTATTTTCACATAGTTATTTCATGTACAGTAAAATCTAAAGTTACATTTAAAATCATGATTTGGTTTTCATTCAAATACTTTCTAAAAACAAAACCAACCCACACTAAAGTGTCTGAACAAACAAAAAATAGATAAACATATAAGTTTGCCTACAAAATTCATCAAAAGAAATTGAGATTTGAATTTCTATATTAGTGAGGAATTGCTGTGGTTGCAAAAATCTAGAAGTCAATAGATTCATCATGGGGATAGGAAAACTCACTACTATCACCTTAAAGAGCTAGTCTAGTGACGTAAAAACAGAGTTTCAATGCTAAAGAACGATACGGGTAACTGGACCTCAGATCAGAACTTGTTAAAAAGCCTGGCAACAGATTATTTTAAGAATCTCTACTCACTTGATCAGACACCTTCAACAGGATTCAACTATTCAGGTTTGTTTCCTGTACTTTCAGATTCTATGATTACTGCCATAAATTGTCCAGTGACTAAATCTGAAACTAAGCAAGCTCTTTTTGACATGGAGCCCCTAAAATCTCCAGGAGTGGATGGGTTGCATGCTCTGTTCTTTCAGTCCCAAAGAAAGAATAGGTGGTTCTGTTTATAACGAGGTGAAAGCTATTTTTGAATGAGGTGAGATCAATCCTCTTTTCAATCGCACGTTGATTGCCCTCACTCCTAAGGTGGATCAGCCTTAAACCGTCAAGGAATTAAGAACTTGTGCACCGCTTTTTATAGGCTCATCACAAAGATTATAGCAAACAAACTCAAGCATGTCATGCCTCTTTTAACCCAACCATTCCAATCAAGTTTTATACGAGGGCGCAATTTCATGAACAACATAATCATAGCTCAGGGCGTTATATATGCCATGAAAAGGAAGATTGAAAGCCATCAAAGTTGATCTTGAAAAGGCTTTTGATAGACTCTGATGGGACTTTATAGCTAACACTCTCAAGGAAGCTCACTTGCCTAATCAAATTATTAATCTAATTATGGAATACATTACCACTTCTTCCATGCAAGTACTTTGGAATAGAAAACCATTGGATCCTCTTACTCCATAGAGAGGCATCAAACAAGGAGATCCACTCTCCTTTTACATTTTCGTCCTCTGTATGGAGCAACTAACACAGGCTATCTGCAAGCACGAATATGAAGGTAGATGGCGAATCATAAGATTGGGTAGACAAGGCCTACCCCTCTCTCATCTGTTTTTTGTTGATGACCTTATCCTCTTCAGCACAATTAAAGCTTCGTAGCTTCAGATCATTAGCAAGATCCTTAATGAATTTTGTGCTTCATCTGGTCAAAGAGTTAGTCAAGCTAAAAACCAGAATTTACTTCTCAAAGAATGTATCTCCCCACGATACGAATGTAATTTGTGCAGCTTTGGGGTTTCAGAAAACAGATGATCTAGGTAAATATATTGGAGTACCCTTGCTTTATAAGAGAGTAACACGGGATACCTATCACTATATTGAGAAGAAAATTCAAAGTAAACTCTCAAGCTGGAAAAATAAAACTCTATATATCACTGACAGAATGAATTACTCTAGTACAGTCGGTTCTATCCACAATACTGATGTATGCCATGCAAACTACTCACTTACCAAAATCCTATTGCGCTAGAATTCAAATACTCATCAAGAACTTCATTTGGGGCACTAATGAGGAGCATAAAGGGGTCCATATGATCAAGTGGGGAAATATGTGCCAGCCGAAAAGATGTGGTGGCTGCGGTATTAAAGATCCTGAACACCAAAATTCGGCTTTCTTATTGAAGCCAGTTTACAAACTATTCTCGCAGCCTGATCTTCTATGTGTTCGGATTATGAAAGCCAAATATGGATGGAATCATCAGGAGCAAAACATTAGCAAAACCAAGAGTGGATCTTATCTTTGGAAAAACATTGTGAACCTATGGGAAGATTTGGAGATGGGTCTAAAATAGGAAATAGGTGATGGCAAGCAAGCTCGTTTTTGGAAGGAACATTGGGTGGGGGGACTTGGGACCTTTGAAGTATCTTTCCTACACCCCAATTCATGAAGATCAGCTCAACAAGCCAGTTAGTGAATTCACTGATGCAAATGGAATCTGGAAATGGAATGAGTGTTCACTGCCACAGGACATTCTGCAACAGATTGCACAAATCCAAGTGTCACGCATGGCTGATATAAAAGACAAATGCGTCTGGAACTTCACAGCTAAGCAAGACTACACTGTCTCCTCAGGCTACGAGTCGATTATGATGAGCAAATGGAATAATGAGAATCCGAATCGGGACCTTGTTTGGAAATGACCAGGAGAACTTTTTTATGGCTTGCAATGAGCAATAAACTGCTCACTGATAGTGCTAGAGTTAGAAGACATATGATTGACAGCGAGATGCGTGAAATCTATAACAAAGTCACGGAAGACATCAATCATGTCCTAAGATGCTGCACACTCGCCACCTCCTGCTGGAATCTTATAGTGCCAAGCCACCTTCAAAGCTGCTTTTATAATTATCCCTTTGATATTTGGTTAAAAATGAACCTGCGATCCAGAAGCACAGACCCTTCGTGGTGCACCTTTTTTGGGATTTTATGTTGGAAACTTTGGGGGGCAAGAAATCGCAAGTTATTCTGCAATGAAGACACTCAAGCTTATCGTCTGGTGAGTGTAGTGATAACCCTTAGCGAACATACTGCTAGAGCAAAGGATATTTACAATACAATTTGCTTAGACTGACCCTCAGCTCTTTTGTAATGGCCCCTTGCAATCACTTGTACAGATTTCATCATTAATGAAATATTCCTTCACTAAAAAAAAAAAAAAAGACACAATAGCATTTTTTTTTAAAATCAGAGTCATCAACCTCTTTTGCCATGTATAGTTTATTTATTAAATATAAAAAGATTAGGGATTGAATTTTAATTGAGTTAAAAATTTAAGAACTGAGTGTTAACGAGTCATAATTGAGGGACTGAGTTGCAAATGAGTTAAAATTTGAAGGACTGAAAGATTAATTTTTTTCTCATTTTTATAATGATACCCCTTTTGATCTATAGCCTATTTTGTTGGGAAAATGTATTTTGACGTAAAAAATGGTGAAAAAGTAAAGAAACAAGGAGAAATGGCAGCTAATTATTTTATTAGAGTATACAATGAACAAAACGAAACATCGCTTTAAGGGTTGATTTAAAATTTGGTAGGCACAAGTTAATTTCAAAATATACGATCAGTAAACCCACTGGAATTAAAAAAAGTATTAATTAAACAAGTTCATAACTTTGAACATCAAACAACTCTCAAAATCAATTTTTTTTCACAGTAGTGAAGCTCAAATTTATTATATAACTATTATTGACAACTTAAACAATTCTAAATGTCAATTTATCAACCAACAGCAAACTAAAGATTTCTGGTTTAATATTTTTTGTTCTCAAATATTCAAACAATAATAATATCAAGGAAATGCTTACCTTTTGTTCACACGGATGTGTTTAAGTTGGCACAAATTGCAATTTTGGCAGCTTATCTTTTTATCAGAACATAATTTTGAGATAGCATCAAGTTACACTGTCACTTTATGCCAAATAAACATATTTATCCTATAACATTATTGTCTCCGATACGCTAGCAAAATAAAGACTTCCAGTTTAATACTTTTTGTTCTCATTATTCAAATAATAATATTATAAAGGAAATTCTTTTTTTTTTTTTAACACGTCACGAGGCATGATTGGAAAGTGCATTAATAATCCGGAGCGCATTTGAGAAGGCGCAAATTGTAGTTACGAAAACGGATTGGGATTATCTCCACTAGTCTTTCTATCCTCTTTCCTTTTCACTACTTTCTTTTTTCCTTCACAACTATTAGATTAAAATTCCAATAGTTCAAGTTTAACATTTTATAAAAATAATGTTATTAAAAAAATAAATAAATTTAAACTGTTAAAATCTAGTCTCAACAGTTCGTAAAAAAAAATTGAAAGAAATTTGTTCTATAATAACAGTCTGTAACTATGAACTGCTTAGATTAGATTTTAATAGTTTAAATTTATTTATCTATTTTTTATAATAATATTTGTAAAATGTTATAAAATATTAAATCTGGACTATTGGAGTTTTGATTC